ATATTTTCATTTGCATAATATGTAGAAACGAAGATATCAAAGAATCCAGGGAAATGAAAGCTGTTTTGATAACGAGAATGAAGAACTTTCATTTAAATATAGATAAAACAGGAAGATTCAATGTGAAATTATCTTTTTGTAGAAAATCAAGGGGAGGAGATCGCCCCCTTCTGTCTTCTAAATGACACCCATGCTCAAGCCTCTGGACTGGGATTATATCAGATTATATCACATGACAGTAGGTGCAATTATACAAATTCAGAATACGTTTCAATATTCGAATTGTGTTTGGAAATACGTCTAGTAATTCCTGATGATCAATATTTTTGGTATATTGGAAAATATTGACACAACTTAACGACTGCATTCTCAAAAAATCACCCCCCGCCTCCCCAAGCCTCACCCCCCCTCCCCAAGCCTCACCCCCATGAGATGGAAAGGCACTGAATAGCCAGCGCATATTTGGCAACATTCCTGAAATGCTTACGCAACGGTGATACGCAAGCGATTCCTCGCGATCAGGATATCAGGAAATTGGAAGGATAGTCGACATTTCCCCGTTAGAACCTCAGTATCCCGCCGGGGGCACCACTTACCTACGATTCACAAGTCTTCTTCCCCCTCTACTACGAGCATTCGCCGCCAGTCAGAACATAGATTAATTCAGTTTTCTGCGCATGCTTCAGCATTAGTTGATAGAGAAGTCGAATGAACTAGTTGGGCGCCACATACCGACCGTGTAAATGGTTTATGAAGGTATCTCCAGTTCAGTGGTTGTGGAATGTTGACTGTAGTTAGAAGAGTGAACGCTAGATGGAAGACGAGTCACTGTAAACGCAAAGTTCAGGGTTGCCATCTTAGCGGTTTTGTCGCTAAATCTAGAGTTATTAGGGTAGGTGAATATTCGACATATCAACTTGATTTGTGACGTGTCGGAATAGTCATAGCTGATTATATGGAGATGTTTTGATCACATGAATTGATGACGACGGATATGAATCCACATTTGAACATTCCTGACGAAGAGATAATCAGAGAAGAGAATGGGAGATGACAGGGTTTGTCTTCATCATTCGTGCCATTTCTGTCACTTCTGAATACTATTCTGTATATTCGATATAGTTTAAAAATTTGCGATGCTTGTGAAGATTTTTTTTTGCCTAGATCAGTAAATATTGAAACTCATATAGGAACCAATGTGACTTATTATAGCAATAAAGTCGCAGATCTGCATGATGTTGACATGGTTTGAAATGTGATTTGATCAAAGAAATACTTGAAATATACGACCAAGATTACTGATGACTATAATAATACTGAATGAAATATTATGGAAAATTTAGATAATTTTTGAATAATGTGTTTTGTTATTCTAAAGAAATAAAGTTTTCTACTAGGTTTCATCTGATGTAATAAACTATCTGAAAATGATGAAATGTGATCGAAAACGTCGCTAAATCATACGAACAGTCGCTAAATTTTCAAAAATTTCGCCTGCGCTTCGCTCGCTATAACCTAGCTATAACGACTTCTAGCGGTATCTTTCGCAATTGTTTGCGACATTTCATCTTCAGCACCTGGCAACACTGGCAAAGTTTTAGAACGTTTGATTATTTGTAGGAATGTTACAAAACGCGGTGAGAGGAAGTGGCAATTCGTGATGTAATCGCATCCAAAAATTTCATGTTGGGATCATAGATATATGTATGTATAATTGAAGAGCACAGCTGGATAAGTAGATTTATTTGAAGACGACAGTTGTAGAATATACATTTTCATGACTCCGAAATGGGATTTTTGATGTAATAACGTCACGAGTTATCACTTCCGCTCACAGTCACCGCGTTCTGGTTATCGAGGCAACCTTCCTCTACAAATAATCATCAATTTTACCAACCTTGCTGCAAACGGAACCAAAGCATCGAACACCAGTGTGAAAGTTGGTGTTCGATGACCAAAGATACATAATTCAATTAGAGGTATAGCTAATGTATAGCTAGGTATGTTATTGTATAGGTACATGCAGAAGAGTAGAAAGAAGACAATATTCACCATAGTTGGCCAACACAGTGTGTTGCCTCTTTAATTGACCAGACGAGGAAATGATATACCCAATACCTACGCATATCTGATGAGGATAAAAAATAGGTATGTAAAAAGTCAACTGATGATGTCGAGGAAAACCAAAAAAAGTTTTAGGTAATTTTGCACTTATCATGCGATGGTTTTTTTTTCGAAAATTTTTTTTGGTACTTACGTATTTTTGTCTGAAAAACACGAATTTGATAATGAAAATGTGAACAAACCACTATTTATCCAGATATTTCAAGAAAAAGTTCGAAATTTTGCCTTCTCTTCCCCCTTGTGTTGGATGCATTTACAGGTACTTGCTCTTATTATTTCATTGGACACTTTATATACTCATGATGTACTTCAATGACACATTTCAAGATAGAAAATTCAACAGGAAATATGATATTTATGGCGAGTTTTTCCTATTTAGTGAGCAAGCATACCAGACGTCAATAGATTGCATCGGAATGACATTACACACGCCATTATTTTAAATGATATTCTTTCTTCTTTTCACTAAAAATGGATAAATCACAAGAAAATCATATTTCTAGTTTACTCATATATAATATAAAAAAAATGTGTCCAACATTGTGTGATATATATATGAATTGTCCAATGTTGAAAAAAGAAGAGCAAATTGTTCTAAATGTGATCCAGAAGACAGGCGGAGAAGATGTTGAAACTTGTAACTTTATAGTGAAATATCTTAATAAATAATGGTTTGTTCACATTTTCATAATCAAATTCGTGTTTTTCAGACAAAAATACGTGAGTACCAAAAAAAATTTTCGAAAAAAAACCCATCGCATGATAAGTGCAAAATTACCAAGATTTATAATATATACCATAATACCTACCAGAAAATAATCGCTCACGGAAAAATTCGAATAACTTGAAAATTGAATAGATAGAAAAGATGGGACAAAAATAGTAGAGAAGTAAGTATAGGTACGAGAAATATCTAGATTCAATAAAGAAAATGATCAATAGGTTAAGATGAGGATAATGATAATTTTTGAAATGGATACATATAGAATATTACATCTATAGGTCGTACTTATTCATTTGAATTATATCTGCAAATATGTATACATAGAGGTATCTCATTAATGATCATATATAAATTCTCCAATTTTTTTTTACTGAAACAAAAGGTAGATAGGTATAGCTGTGATATACTTCTCGACATATGACATTTCACAAAATAAATTGTACCTATACTTATTATCTGTATATAGGTATATCGACTCCCTACTCATATATAAATAGGTCTGATAATATTTCTCACATAGTCCATCGCCTTGAGTACTTCAAATCAACCACTGCATGATATTTCAAACGATTTATCTCTCTCATTGATAATGTTATATCCTTCAAAATTGATACCAATAAATCCATTATTCTATTTGTACCTAAACCAATCTGTCAGTGGGAGATATGATCTATACGGCACCTGATAACTGATATCTTTCATATCATGATCCTCAATATATTCAATAAAGCGGTAACTATATACACTTTTGACTGATCTGGCTTAGACTGAAATAGTACGTATGTAAGTACGTAAAACAGAGTCAGTATAGGTAAATATAAGTAAATGATATATTTCCTTTCCGATTTAACTAATTTTCATCTTTGAAGGAAATAAGGAAACTCACTCAGGCGTTTCATTATACAGTGCTATAGCACTATCATAAGATGGGGGTAGAAGAGATGTTGTCAATTCAAATGAAGCTGGCGTAAAGAAGTTGAATTTTCAAGACTACTTTTTGCTTTCGTTGCATTGGATAATGATAATAATATGATTCAACTGAACTCCAAAATACTCAACAGAACACTTCAAGAAAATTTAGGAATGATAAATATTCCGAATCTGTGAAGGTTTATATATGATATTATATGTTCCATTCTTTCATCTTATGGCTCGCAGTTGTCAGTAAATTATTGAACTTGATCTGATAATTATTGGTTCACGTCAACTGTGATGTAAACTCTCTCAATGAATAAATTGATGTGATACGATGATGACTGGTAGAATAAGAATATATCAACCTACCTATTACTTATCTACTTTATCAGGGAACCGAATAAGTCATGAACATGAAACCAAATTTGAGTCGATAAATTAAAGTTAATAAATGTGTTTTCATCTCGGTGCAAATAGATTTTGGCTAGGAAACACATAATGTGGAGTGTCGTTCCGAATTATTTTTATTCAAATCATATGATCCATAACAAGACAGCAAAAATATATATTTTGTATCTCATTTCTGACCATGTCTAGTTGCACGTAGACAGAAAAGAATGAATGAACTTGTATGAACTTTTATCTAGATTCTAAATCATTTATCTACTACAATACGTAGCTATCACCAGAATGTCAATGAATCATTTGGTGAGTCATAATATATCTGGCAAATATTGTGTCCCCTTGTGTAATATTGTCTAACCTGTTTTGTGTGTATGTTGTATACCTATACAGTTATGGGGATTGGAACAACAAAGAGTGGGCCCTGATTCAACGCATGGTTTGATAACTCGACTTACCTTTAGAAGTTGTATGTAGTTATAGCCTATTCATATTGGATTATATCGTGTGACAGAGATTATAGGTATACCTATACCTTCGTCTGTTTGTGGTATCATCGCTTTGTTATATTCATGAATGAATAAATCGTTAATGAGGATAAGGATATAGGAAGGATTAGACCTGGAGTCTGGACATACATGGAGAACAGAAGAAGGTCAAAGAAAACAGATGTTGCATGGGGGCAATGCCCACTGGATTGATGAAATCTTACGTGACTCCAGTCTCGATCGGTATTATAGTAATTCCGGCCTACCTCAATTCATGGAAAGGAGGCCTCTCCCAATCGAGTTGGGGCATGCGTAGTCAGAGTCCACGTTGAGTTTTATATGGGATAAAGGTCACCTTGAATCCAGTCCGTGCCGTGATAAAATTGTGAGCTTGAGCTTTTTTGGCGAACGAGTGATAGTGTGGTGTTTTTTTGAATGTTTTGAATGGTGAGTAGGTACCTACCTATACCTACCTATTCTGGTGTAGTTACCGAAAACTCAAGTTTTGTTTTGATGAAGAAAAATACATATATATCTCACTAATATAATTCTGCAAAAATTGATGGAAGATAGATTTTTCTAAATGGGTTGCTGATTTCTGACTGAAGATAAACTAACAAAATTTCAGTTAAATTTAATTGTTTATTATACACTAATATATATCAATGAGATTTCAATGCCTATACTATCTGTAATGCGTTAGATGAAGTTACACCTTTTCCTCAACTTGCGATTTTCAATGAGACATCCTGTAACGTTTTCTCTACTTTTCCATTCCAGAAGATCGAGTATAGCTTCCGATAATTTTGTTTTCGAATCATGACATTTCAATTTCCTTCCTTTTTTTTACCAAACATAACTCGAAACATAATGAGTATAACCAGGTACTTATAACGTATGTCGCTAAGTTAGTAAAAATTATTCTTCTTTTTAAAATGAGCTTATTTCCATGATTTGATCCAGGGGCACAGCTAACGCCCTATCAGCCGTATCAATCATACGGGGCCCCTATGCTACAGGGGCCCCCACTTGTTATGAAAAATTTGTAAAACGTTATCGACAATCTTGCTCAAATTATTGGGCTATTACGCTAAACTTAAGAGGGCGTCCAAAAGTTGACAACACTGGATGTCTCAGAGAGAACTGGTCTGCCTAGCTGTCTACCAAATACAGTAAATAAGATATGACTGTTGATCTTTATGAACAATAATGTATTGCCTTGAAAGCATGATTATAATCTGAATTTCAGGAAATTCATTTCATTGAGGAACCCACGGAATTCACGCCGTATAATAGCACTGCATCAGGTTTTCCTGGGGTAATAACATGTATGACTCAAATGTTTGATCCTTCTGATTACAAATGCAACAGCTGAAAGAAGCTTTTCGAAGTTGAAAGTGATAAAAAATTATCTTGGGACTTCAATGGGACAAGAACGGCTCCCAGAATTATAAAATCTTGAATAATAAGTTTGGCAGAAAGAAACTATGAGTATTATACTATTTTGTAGTGGTATTATATAATGTTGTAGTGGTATCATTTGATGAAAGTTGTGACTGGCGCCTATTTTACTAAACGTTTGGTAATTACTACCATCTTTTTTTTTCAGTGAAATCTCTCGAAGTAAACGCATTTTCAAATTTGGCTTGCACTAAGTACCTACCTAAAAATGCTAACTCACTCCTAATTATTTACTATTCACACTTCGAAGTTCGATATAAAAACAGCTTCGCAACTTTCTTTGAAAAGTTGGAAAAAGGTTCATTAATTAATTTGAAGCAAGTAAAGTATATGGAAATCAGTAAGTAGCATTGTATATACGTATTATTATTGATTAGCTTATTTTCCGGACACTCTGATGTATATACAGGTTGTTGCACTCCAACAACCTGCGAATAGTAAAATTATCAAATATATCGTATAGAGGTACAAACGACTCAAACGAGAGAATCAATATCTGAGTCTCCCGTGTTTAAAATCACTGGTTTCAGTGAAAAATCAATTCATTATATTCGAGGCGGCTATACATAAAATAGGGTACTTTGGATAATATCTATTCAGAAATCAGAACAAACATATTATGTTGCTGTTTTCGAATAATATCATCATAGATATCATGGACTGGTACTTTTTCCCAACATTTCAAGGCTTTATCGCCCTCAGTTGGTCGTTGACCGAATGAAGTAAGTATAGGAACCTCATTCAACTCTTACAACAATGCAACAACATAGGAAAGACCACGCTTACAGAAATACTTCTGGTGTAGGTACCATAAGCATCCACCAGTATTCCCTAGATGTCGCTAACGGTACCTACCTCTGTACCCTGTATCTCTATCATTGCAAGTGTTGCAAGTTATGAGGAAATCCCTATGAAATCAATTATTTGATTTACAGTAGTAGTGGGGTCGGATAGCGGAAAAAAGTTTCACATCTGGCAACCAATGCGCCCTTTTGGATTCAGATAGCACATGGGTAGACACGTTGAAAAAGCTCGGGACACAATTTTTTCTGGCCCTCTAGCGGCGTTGATGACGTAATCAATATGGCCGTCATAGTTTTGTGGCACGCTTTTACATTTACCTGTGTAACTCAGGTTTGTATTAGAATATCAACCAATATTATAAGTGCTTATCAATGAGGAGAAAATACGCTTTCCAACGGTATAAAATACATTATTGTTCAAGTTTGTAATTATGAGAATAATTGCAACATAATAGTTAATTTTGGTTTTTATCGAAACATTTCGCTAAATAACTTAAAACCCGTTGCATATAGCTAAAAACGTAGCAGATACTTTTTGTTCATCAATGAATTAGCTTTCGGATGGTGTATATGACTTCTATTTTATAACAAACAGTTACTGAAAATGTGCCAAAACAATGTACCCGATTTGGTGTCGATAGGGAGCTCTAAAGTAATTCCAAGTGTCGAAGCTGTCAGGTGTGTTAAGGAAGCATATACTCTAGGTCTCAAACAGTATGATGAATTTATCGTGTCCCGCCTTGATCAAGTTCAAAATTCAATTCATGAAATTATTCCTCGAACCAATATTCACATATTCAGAACTATATCAAGTCACTGCCAACCGATGTTACAGCTAAAATATTTTGGAGCAGCCGTCATACACATACTTAATCCTGGTAGTGGTACATTTCCCGGATACTATGAACATGTTTTCAAACCATATTTTACTAATCAACTGAGGAATAGTTCACGACTAGATATTGTATTCGACCGATATGCTAGCAACAGTTTGAAGGCAGACACTCGAGAAAGAAGAGGAAGTGGCATAAGTATTAAAGTCTCAGATTCAACTGCAATTCCCAAAAAATTTTAGCAATTCCTTTGTGTTAACGAGAACAAGACACAATTGTTCCATTTTCCAGCTGAGAAAATGGTGAGAAACGAGTATCCAGAAAAACATACTGTATGTACTTATGATGACCGAGTCCTCACCTCAAGACCAATGGATGTATCAAGCATTTCTCCCGCCTCACACGAAGAAGCAGATGGCCGACTACTTCTCCATGTAAAACATGCAGTAGAAAGTGGACATACTCACATTCTAATACGAACTGTGGACTCAGATGTAGTGGTTATTTCAATTTCACTGTTTCCCCAAATACAAAATATTATTGAACTATGGATTGAGTATGGTTGGGGAAACACAGGAAATTCATTCCAATTCATGAGATTTGTACCAAACTCTCACCAGAAATTTGCAGGAATATGTTGGCTTTTCATTCTTTAACTGGTTGCGATACCGTTTCCACATTTTGTGGTATTGGTGAGAAGACAGCTTGGAAGGTCTGGATGTCATTTCGTGAAATTGATCGTGTATTGCATCAGCTTTGTACAAGCATCTCGAATATTGATGATGAATGTTATGCTGTGTTACAGCGATTTGTTATTCTACTTCATGATCGAGCATCAGATCATCAGAACATCAATGACTGCAGAAGATTGTTGTTTACAAGAAAGAATCGAGCAATCGAAAACATTCCTCCTACAGCAGATGCTTTAGCACAACATATTAAACGTGCTTCTCTTCAAGCAAGAATCTGGAACAACAGCCTCGATTCACAATACGTAATACCTTCCCCAACCAATTGGGGATGGACTGTGACTTCAGAAGGATCATACCGATCTGTGTGGACAATAACTCCGGAAGTGGCAAAACACTGTGTACAACTTACCACTTGTACTTGCCGCAAGAGATGCACATCTTGTAAATGTATTGAAATGGAAATACGATGTACAAAACTTTGTGTATGTGAAGGACAGTGCTCCGACAGTTATCGGTAATCACAAGTGGAATTTTTAGTTTTTCAACCCCACTAAATATTATTGCACCTTATTATTTTCTTTGTATACCAGTTTATTTTACAATATATGTACTGAATTTGCATATTAAATTGAAATAATATTGTATTTGAATTCTTTCATTTCTCGTTCGTGTACCTATTGATTGAAACGTATCTCACAATCATCTTAGGTATAACTCCTATCACTGATTTTGAAACAGAAAAGAGTTTCAATTGCAATGAACATGCTACAATTTATTTGATATACATAAAAAATTACAATAGGTACAGTGATGCCCAATAAATAAATAACGACTCTACATACATTCGCTACTTATACATATATTATATAAATTACATTCTTGCCATAACTGTGCAATGCTACATTGTTTTGACACATTTTCAGTAATGAAAGGTATATAAACCGTTCGAAAGCCAACTCATTGAGATGAACAATAGGTATTCGACACGTTTTTGGCTATGTGCAACGGGTTTCGAGTAATTCAGCAAAATGTTTCGATAGAAACCAAAATTGAATAAAAAAATAATTATGTTGCAATTATTTCTATAATTACAAACTTGAACAATGATGTATTTTATACCGTTGGAAAGCCTATTTTCTCCTCATCAATAATCACTAATGATATTGGTTAATATTCTAATACAAACCCGAGTTACACAGGGAGAAGTAAAAGCTTGCCACAAAACTATGGCGGCCATATTGATTACGTCATCAACGCCGTTAAAGGGCCAGAAAAATTTGTGTCCCGGGCTTCCTCAACGCGTCTACCCATATACTATCCGAATCTGAAAGGGCGCATTGGTTGCCAGATGTGAAATATTTTGGTAGAATTTTTAGTTAACCGACCCCACTATAGGTACATTACTGCTAATGAGCATTTAACATCTACGCATTCTGTACAGGAATAATCTGTGGTTGATATATTTGTTCAGTTTTTTGATATCTTGTATAATTGCAGACTTTCTTACAATATCTGGTTCAATCTGGTTTGTGCAGATTATCAACCTTGAACCAAGAACAATTAAAAATTTGCGTTATACTCAGATATAGTTTAATAAAATCGAATGAAATGATTAGTTATGCAATGATGATAAAGTATTGCATAATCGATGATACGCT